CATGAAATTTGATTCAGAAAGCAATTATAAGCAGCGCTGCCTGGGACAAATTTCCGTCCATAGGCACACAGAATAATAGACACCCTGATTTTAATATAAACCCTCCCCTAGCTTAATTCTTTGCAGGGGGTATATTATAGTAGGTTGCATTCCATGAATGTTCCGTAATCTTGCAGCACATCCATTGAATTTTTAAGGCAGATGTTTTCAGCCTGATTCATCGCCTGGGAATACCACATTTGTGTGTTAGTGACCTTACCTCCGCAAGCGATCAAATAACGTTGTCGCAAAATTGCCTGGCCACATTTGCTTTTACAATTAAGTAACACTTAAATTCTAGCCACATCTGTTCCAGTTGGCCAGGGTTCAAAACACAGATCTACTAGAAATATTTGCATATCAATTTTAAGAATATGCTAGATAAATATTGTTCACTTGCAAATTTAAGCAGATGTTAGAACATACATTTTTACGAGCACAATTTTGATTTAGCGAGTGAAAGTTTTGGTCACTCGCAAAACTTTCCTAGTGGCTAAAATGTTAAGTTTCATCTCCTGTTTGCTACTAACGATATACATTTATTGCAATGTCCAGTTGTTCCCAAGCTTGAACAGACCACCTGATCACACTTTATAGCTGCCATTTTGACCATTTTACCAACCTCCCTCGAAACTCCCTCAATAATCAAGTCCAAACTCACACAAACTCAAAATCTACATCCTGTGGTCAAATGATCTGCTAGTTACTGCAGGGTGTGTGTAATGATCATAACGGGTGTGTCTGAGTCAAATGAATGCTTTTTGGAATTATTTTTGATACGTAAAAAGGGAAAGATAAATTGAGCAAAGAATTTTCAGTCTCATTTCACACACTTTCTCCGTCAATAGAAATGTGGAATGGGGGGAGATCTCCCTCATTGGAGGTTTCAGAGATTGACACATTTGAAAATACTTGATCCCAAAGTAGGTAATAAACAATTGGTCCTATATTTTTGGTAACAATGGATGAATCAGGCCTAACAGTAGTTCATTCAGCACATTTATCGTTTGGTGTATGAATTAATCATATGATCACAGATGGGTTTGTAATTGTCAATTATGTTTTGTTTAATAAACAGCAAGTCAGACGGAAACAGGAAACAACAACAGGCGATTATGTCACCAAAGTTCTCGTGTAAAACAATGATAAATATTTAATGTACTTCCCCCAGCATATGTATATATGTTATCTGGGGCCTACCACCAGAAAATCTGTTGAAATATATATACCTCTGGTGACCTTGATGGGATTAATATATTATCTAGTGCAACTTTGGATTATTTCGATTTCCCTATATCAGACTTGTTCAAGACAAGACTGGTTTCCCTTAAAATGTATTTGTGTGTATACATGTGTTTGAATGGGAGGAGGGGGGGGGGAGGGCTGTGTTTCCAACCCCAGGTTATAGATCTGTCTATGACTATATGTCGATTATATGGCCTAAACTCATTCGCTAATAATACAGTGGTTTGCAAAGATGATGCTTTTGAATAATACATATATGTAATCAATTCATTTTGACTATTTTCCAGAAATGTTAATTTCCATCCCCCAGCGACAGTATCAGTCTAAGAAATACGAGTCATTGATTTTTATTTTGGCAGCTTAACAGATTCAATCTGTTAAGCTTTCAAAATAAAAATCTTCAGAAGTCTTTAGTTGTACACCATAATAAAGTTTATTATTTGAGAAATTTCACAAAGAGCCGAATAGACCTTGAATTGCATACCGGTCTGAAAGGTCAAACAGAATTTCAAGAAACTCTAAAGTTTATGTTCCTTTTACAGCATAAATATGTTAAACTAGAAAATGTCTAGGACAAGAATGCCCCTGATCCAATATACACAAACTTGAGTTATTTTTGGACAAATTTCCACAAATAACAGTTGTTACCTAAATCACCTCGACCTTTTCGCATGCTTGATATTTGTATAAAGTTTGATTACTGGAATGAATTGTCACTGAAATGGTTGAAACATTTCTATAAATAGAAACTGTGACCTCCAGGCCGTTAAACCTTTAGAACCGGCCGGCCCCTAAAACACAAAACTCATCTGATGTACATTTGTATAAAGTTTGATCAAATTCTGTCAAGAAATGAAGGCACTAGAGCAACGATATAGAATCTAAACGAGTAACAATAAGACAAAATGGATAAGAGTAACATTTTTGCCCTACGTAAATGATGGAAGCATAAAAAGAGTTTTCAGACAAAGTTATTAAACTCTAGGGGTCGGAGACACAAAGTTCCTTTCAGTATATATAACTATAACTCTGGTACAATTGATTCGTATGAACTCTGCCATGCACACAGATACTCATTGTACCTGGGATGCTAGTAGCTATATAAATGTGATGGACTGTTGGTATATGCCTTTAACGAGCTTTCATCCCGATCACTGGCTCTGCCATCACTGTCTGTGGGTACTAATATTATGGCCTGATACAAACATTGGGAGCCTGTAGCATAACATTGGAAAATCTCACTTGGTAATCATGATATGATCAAAGAACACGTGACAACAACATCCCACAAACAATCAAGCTGCTTAAAGAGAGGTTCTTGACAACTAAATATAGGAAATTATTTGCCCTATACCCATGGCCTCTGCACCATCTGACCACCCATTTGAATAGCTTCTGATGTTCATTCCAAATTCCCCTCCCCCCCCCACCCCCTGCCATCTTGCTTTCACACTACCTCCACTCCTACCACATTTGGTTGAAATTGGTGCAGTGCACTTCGGAGAAGAAGTCAAATAGATGGCGATGTTGATGAACTATGGGTGATACATAAGGCACAAGCTGACCAGGAGATCGAGTCACAAACTTAATATACATGTAAAGAGCAGCTGGAAAAGATGCCTTGGGGATAAGTCAACATTGGGTTTTTTAATATATCTATATATCCACAAAAACTCTGCGAAAGTCAGGAAGCTTATTGATGGCTTGTCTGAGACACAACTGCTAAATTATAGGTGCCCACACGTTTTTCGCAATAAATCACCACTCTTCCAAATAGGTTTCCTGGAAATGGCACCAGACCTTAGGAATGAGACATTGTGAATTGGTCTGTCCTTGAAAACAATCTTGAAAACTTGAATACTTGCCAAAGTGGAAAATTTAAAAAAAAATAAAGTTTTTAAAGATGCACATTAAAGTAACAAGTTATGATGGTGATCTGTTTGATTTATCTCCCTTAGAAATAATAAAATCAACATGATATGATATTCGATGTATAAATATTGAATTCCTTTATTTGTCACCATCTAAACATTCAGATAAGGTTTAATGCTGGACATTACACATGTTAATTTCAGTGTCTGACGCTTTGTGATGCAGATACATGTTACAGATTTAAAGTAGCATGAAAACATCACCACATACTGCGTCAATTAAACTTACAAAGAAAAGTTCTAGAGACGGTTTGTTTTAACTTAGGGGACATTTGCGTATCCGGTTGAAAAAGTTGAACCGGTTGAACCTGTAAAGAAAACGACAGGCACAGATCTGGACCGAGACTGACCTCAGGAAAATTTGGCACGTGTAGATTGAGGGGTCCAGATGTACCTGACCAAAACTGAAATGCTGACTATGGCTAGTTTGCGTTATTCCTTTCTAAAACGATGTCACTCCACATGTAGTTTTTAAGATACCTTATGTAATTTAGTGGATGAAAGAAGGGCAAAATATTCTTGAAACTGTGCATTTTTAGCTCTGCTTATAGAATGGTCCAAGTGCGTTCATTTATCGTGGAAAGTTTCTGCGCCACACGTTCCGTTTCAACCGGGATACGCGAATGTAGCCTTAAAGTATTCTCTTATAGAATATAGAAGACAAAACAATCAACCAAAACACTTTTTTGTTTAGAGAAGGTTCCCTTATAAGGTCATGTATCTGTCAATGTTTATTGCTTGTATATAGGCTATGCTCTCTGAAATCTCCAATGAGGGAGATCTCCCCCACCCCCCACCCCCCATTCCACATTTCTAATGTGGGAGTAAGAGCGTGAAATGCGAATGAAACAGCTTTGCTCAATTTATCTTTCCCTTTCTACACTTTAAAATAACCCCAGAAAGCATTCATTTGATTCAGACACACCTGTTATGATCATTATATACACACCCTGCAGTAACTAGGAGATCATTTGACCACAGGATGTAGATTTTGAGTTTGTGTGAGTTTGGACTTGAATGAAGGAGTTTCGAGGGAGATTGGTAAATTTTGGTTAAAATGAGGGAGTCTTCCTCCTTATGAGGGAGCTTGAAGCAAGCTTGCAGCCAACAAATCTCACTCATTTTGATGTTGCGCAGTACAATCCCTGAATGACAACCTTGATAAAGTGTGGGGTTCGCAATGTATTAATGGTCGTGGGCTTGACCCCTGCATTTTCTGTTTTCTATTTTTATTTCCGTTTTTAAACAATTCTGTAAAATGCATCGCAACATTTGATTTTTATGTCATACTAATTAAAAAATTTGAAAAGGACGGTGAAACAATTACTTTACAGTAGTGACAATTATAATGATATATATTTAACCTGCCGGTAATCTTTGAATTAACGTTTGTTTTAGAACCACTGAACTTTTTCCGAGAATTATGAATGTCAGGGAAAGTTCATCTACACAACTTTGAAATTGACAAATCCAATCAAGATTAAATATTAGAAAATTTTCATTTACACCGAGAACTGTTGATTTATGGAACAAAGCACAGCTATTTAACAATTTGAATATAAATTAGATGCACACTCGCAAAACCAAGTGCAGAAGTAGTTTTAAAGAAAAAAAAATTCTAAACGTCACACCTTTGAAATATGTTTTTATCTAAATCAACAGGCCTCATTAACCAATCACAGCCAGTGTCTCATTAAGCTTAATGTCACAAATACTATGAATATTTTATTTGACTACCTATAGCTAGGAAATATATGTATGAGAATAATATATATTTGTACTTACCCAATAAATTCCCTTTCATATGTTGGGCTGGAGTCCGTGGATCCCTGAGTGGATGAGTCTACCGCCTACAGGAAAATATAAACACAACGTCAATAATATCACCGCAGTAATGAAACGCACCGTCAGTATCGTACATATTAATAAAACAGTGCATTGTCCTGTATGTCCCAGGATCAAATTTCACGCACTCCAACTTCAGAAATAAAATTTCATTTTTCTTCCTTTGATCATGAACAAATATCATGTATATGAGCCGTGTATGACGCAGTTTGAACGATGATGAATTATAAAAAAAAACAATAGATTTGAAGCAGCTGTGTATAATGACTGTCTTTTTCACAGTAGCCAGATTTTCGCTAAAATCATGTCATTGGCTTTAAATTTGAATCAAATTAAATACACATAATAAATTTCAATGTTTCGGGCAGCTGTCAGGACGGTACGTTCACAGTCAACCAACAACTGGTAGTTTATAGATAATCTAGGAGTCCCGCGACACAAGCTGCTTCGTTTGTTGTCATGCCCGGAGTGCGGCCCACTATATAACCAGGTTACCTTACCAAGAGCTGGAACCTATTAGAAATCCAATACCTTCGTGTGAATACATCGTAATGATAGATAAACACAGTGATTTAAGCTCCAATCCTACTGCTGTTCCACAGACTTCACTTCTTCCCTCTTTGTCTTATAATCTAACGTGCTCTTAGCTAATAGTTTCTACATCAACCGAAACCTTTTTTTCACTCAATCATCTCCTGAATTTTCTTAAGCTTGCCTTCTTTCTCTTAAATCTGCTCTTTCCTTTCATTACCCATCCTATAATTTGATTTATTTCCATCATATTCTTATTCACATTTTGATAAATACTCATTTCTATTTTTTGTTTTTATTTTCCATTAATTATCTTCTCTTCTTTCCCTCTCAGTTTTCCAAAAATATTCCCACTGTTGCCAATTTCAGCCTTTTATGGATCGAGAAATCTTAATAACCTATATTTCAATGTTAATTACTGGTTGGTATTTTGGTTTTCTGACATTCAGCGTTAATTTCATTCTGAAACAGACCCCTACACTGTATTGCTGTCCCAATTGCCATTGACATTAATTACAGTGATATGTGTATACATGACTGAATTTGTGGGAATGACAGATGTCAGCTCCAGCAGCTGTGATGCTGTACAAGCTATAGGCTAGATGTCTAGTTGTGAGCCACCTAGTTTGGTTGGTACTTGTCCAGGTGTGAGGGAGGAGATGCTGAATATATAGGTGTGTACAGGGCGGGCGGGGGTTTGGGGAGGGGCTTGNTAAACCAAAGACAAAAACAATTCTTTTTCCAAATTATCACAACATGTGTGTTGATAATTAAAATGGATTTACAAACAGATATATTAACAAATGTATCATAATATACTTTTAAAGGTTATATTTATAAAAGGGTGACACATTCTGGTAAAAATGCAAGCTTTGTAAACAACTGATTTAAATTTCAATTGAAATACCTTCTAAATGTATCGCTGAACAGAAATCAAACTATGACCTTTGACCTAGCTTTCAATTGTAGTCTTGGTTTCCATAACAACAACCCCATCCCAACCTCTGACTTTGACCCTGACATCTTGTGACCTTCTATTCAACCCCTAATTTGTGACCTTGACCAATCTAGGTCCATTCAATCTCTGACGCCAACTTTTCCATCTGACTCTTTGGCTTGAAATTGTGTCTATAAACTAATTCTGTTCAATCCAAGAGTTTTGGAACACAGTAAATTCAAGATGCTCTAAAACATTTTCCCTGCACTATTAAATTGAAATAAAAGTTCTTTTCAGTTATAAAATTAGGAAAAATGTACTTCAAATCCCTGCAAAGCAATTTGATTCTGGTGACAGATAGGTACTTGATGCCATGTTTAATTACGTTTAATAGCTCCGAGGAGAAATTGCTTTAGATTTCGGATTCTAGCTTTGTGAATTCCACTTAGACAATTAAATTGCAGTCCTGAAAGCTGTAAACAAATGTAAACACATTAGGATCGTAATTATACTTGACACTGAGCTTCCTCCTTCCTCTAATCTTACCAGAACATTTTAGTGTCTTTCTAAAAATTGTAAAAGTTCACAGTTTGAAACAGGCCGATTATTGTAGGAAAACAATTCTAACCATTTCTGAACATGACTTTGAGGATAAAACATTGCCAAAATAACATCTTCACTTTGTTCAAAATAAAAAGGAGTAATAATAACTTAACCCTTTTAGCCCTGTGTAACTTAAGTAGACTCTACTGTGCATTGATCTGGAATAGTCCATTATGGTCTGCAGGGGTAAAAGGGTTAAGAAAAACGTTTTGAAATAAATATTATCGTAAATGGAAGATGAAATTGCAGCTTTCTGGTCTGTGACTCTACCAGTCAAATATGAAGTTCAGCATGCTAAAAAAAAAATGATTTAAACAGGCTGCCGAAAGTTTGACCAATCAGAATGCTGGAATGTCTGAAGCATTGTTATTTTGTCTACGACCTGCACCTCATAAATCTTTCATCGCCCGTTAACAGATTTGGTTGTGTGACCTTTCGACCATTTATCCTCCATAATCGTTACCGAAAGTCCAAATGGGTGTCAGATTGTTTTAGTAGAAACGAAACCTAATGCATCAAATGTCGCAAAAACCAACATGGCGCGTACAGCACTGGTTGTCAATCTATCATTGTTGGTATCGTAGCTTAGTGAGGATAAAATTTAATCTTCAAACCAAACTTTTATCAAACAAATCAGATCAGATGTGTTTACGAATCTGTCTCTATTTTACAAAATATATGACGGAAAAGAGCACAGCTTACGAAATCTAGCACGATGCAAATATCTGTTTAAAAGGTAAACTTAATATTATGATTGAGTGCAGGATTTACGGGGTTTTGTCGTAGACTTCAATAGTAAATACTATGGAAATATGTTTCTGTATGATTTTCTAGTACTTTTGGGTATGACTGCACACAGTGGACCACATCTCAAAACTGAAGGATTAAAAAAATAAAGTACACTTTTTTGGATTTGATGTAAAATTGATTGACAATTGATGTGCTGTTAGTGTATCATGATACAGGCACACAAAACAATTTGATACGATACACAAGAAAGTATCACAATACGATACATATTGATAATCACGGCTCCACCAATTACATGTTCCATGACTTAGGGAGCAACGTTTTTGATATATTTCCCTGAAACATGAAGGTATCAAATTATCTCACCATTTGCAGAACTTGAATCTGGGACATATATCCCAGACAATATGCTGCAGGCAAATAATAAGAAATTTTACCAATTCACTTACCAAAATGTATTTTCTACCTTAATACCTTACAGTGCCTGATTCTAAAATTGCCCAGCCTTAAAAGGTAGCTTTGGATTCCTTGCATTCAAGCCAATCTTGAAAATAAGCCAGTTTTGAAAACATGCCATCCTCAAAAACAGGCCTAGCTTGTATTCCAGGTAGAAATCATGCTGTAACTTTATTTTTAGTATGTTACAAATCAAACTTGTATTTTTTTGAATATTACAATTTTTATTTCTTTTTTCATCAATATTTATTGATATCTATCGTTGTTCCGTTGAAGGAAACTCATTTCTGGTCCTGAAAAAAAACCATGCACGATCGACATCATTAACTGTCATAAAGATCCCCATTATAACAGCACTGACAAACCGTAACTAGGCTTTGGAAACTGTTTCCCAGCATGACTGTAGTTTTGATGAATCATTTCTGAAAGGAAAACCATACCTTCTGGGACTTTAATGCAAAAATAATGTTAAAGATCCAAAGATTCAATAAACGAAATATAGTCAACAACAGTGTGCTGAGTGGATAAGTAAAATATAATACAAGAATAAAAACCATAGACCTCAGAGTGCTATACACCTTGAGTGTTCCTCTAACTAACTTAAAGCTCCCGGATCAATGGTATATATAGTATCAGATAATGGCCCAGTTGTGCTACATATAAAGTTATGTCCAAAATGAAATGAAGGGGAGGTTACTCATGTATTTACGGGAAAACAGGGGCTCTCTAGAGTTTTACCTGCAGTGGCATATAGGTGGTATCCAAATCAGCCTTGACAATTTCAACACGTTCTTGTGTAGCTTCCGTATCGGCATAAAAAAAAGTTCAATAAGAAATGTTTTGTTTTCTCAAAAGATTTTAGGAAAGTTGATATACAAACTGTAATCAATTCTTTTTTAAATGTTTAGTTTGGAGGCGTGAGTGACTTACTGACCCTCTCTGTCCGACTAAAGGACGTCTTTTCCTAAAGGCATTTCTGGGGCAGGTGTTCTTAATAGTGCAAATAGGTATGGCCCACCATATCTATCACCAGACGGAAGGGTCAGGTATGATGGCCTCTATATTGTAAAGCCTTGGAGAGTTATTGCTATAAAAAACCCACAGGTCAAAAAAGACTCATATAAAGTTACATATTCTAAAAAAACACAGAACGTCTATCGGAATGTACAGAGACCACATTCGTTTGTATTGATTACCGTATTTGACAAAATGAATGTCCTTTTTCACCTCGGGGGTCTGGCGAGTGAAAGACTTCTGTTCATTACTGAATCTTTTTATTTTTCATGTCAATTAATTAAATAACATGACTCAAATTACAATCATTTTACGAAGAGCTGCTTCAACATCCATAAAATTATTTCCACTTTCTTAGATCCTTCTAACACTGTTGCCCTCAATGCCAGATTTCAAACCAATGTCTACCAACCGGGGACCTAGAATTTTTCAGACGTACCATTCCAGTAACTTACAGTATGTACTCTAGATATGAAATTGAATACGATTTGTACCCCTGCCAACATAAATGAGTTCAAATGGATAAAATTACTACAGACCTAATAGCTAACTGGGATTGCAGGGTTCGAGCAAGAAATTTGTTCTGAAATTAAAAGCTTTTTAATTAGGACCCCTTTCTGTGGCTTTCTTAAGTAAAATTAAGGCCTAATTTAAGATTTTCCACCATTTGCAAATTCTCAAACCTTTGATAATGTCTTATTATAACCTTATCAT